ATTTTTTGTGATAGGACGGTAAATAAGCAGACGGATTACCTAATCGTAAGCAATCAACGTCGCCCATAGGCCCCCATAACGACGGAGGAGTTACGAGTGCGTTGCCGACCTTTTTGGGATTTAGGGATTGAGGGAGGGAAAGAATTGGGCTTCTGGTAATCTCACTCACACGATACACAACGCTGGAGTTGTAATACGCCGGTTTTCTGTGAGGCCGGTGTACTCCGGTCGAGACGACCAATTCGTGCCGAATCACACTTAAAAAAGTTTTATCAAATTAATTTAAAAAAAAAAACCTTGAAAATGATGCAGACAACTGTGCGTCCATTGATGCGCATCTTATCAGGGTTTTGAACAACGTGTTCTTTGTTAATAGCAAGAATTTTGGAACTATGACCTGGCTGCTATTTGTACTAATTATATTTGATATTGTTACGTGCCTGACGTCACGTTCCTGACTATGCGGGCTTGGGTAACGGGATTGGATGAAATGAAACACTAATACCGGTTTTCAGACTTTCTATTGCACTTAAGTTACAGCGTCCACGGAGTTAAGTTATCGGCGTTCCTCTCCAGCAGAGCCCGGCCGACTGACACAACTTTGCCGTTCACGCTGGCTTAACTCACTTAACTGACTGCACTTCACTATTTCACTGCACTTCACTATTTCACTCACTTTTCTTCTTTTTCACTTCTTCTTTTTCTTCCGAATCACTTTAGACTTAGAAGTCAACTGCCAGCGGTGAGCCGCAGTTCTGCTTATATACCCCCGGTCAGGTTCTGGAACATTCAATTTCGTTATTCTTTTTGATCGTCATGCCTCCAGAACCTTCCAATAATTTCGCTATTCATTTTTATTTATTCTCCTTCTCACTCTTTAATTTTTCATCTCTTTCACACAAATAATTCCAGAAAGTTCGACAAAACTTCCATCAACTAAAAAACTTCATGTTTACGGCGGGACTCGAACTCGGGGTCTCTGTGGTGTAATCCACACGCCTTACCAATTACACCAACTCGTATTGACAATTCACGACGAAATTTACAATCTCTAGGCAACGTTTGACAACCATCCATTGACGTCATGATGTCAAAGAGTTTTCTGTCACACTGCCCCCCTCTTAGATTCGCTCGTCCCGAGCATCGTTGCTGCCGTAATACCTCGCCAACCTGTCTATATGGACAACTTTCAAAGGGCTCCTTGAAGACTTCCGAATTCTGTAAGTAATGTCATTGATCTTCGTGACTATCTCGTAAGGACCTTCCCAACTCGGTTGCAGCTTTGGAGATTTTCCCTTCCTTCTGACTGGATTATGAAGCCAGACCAATGACCCCTCTTCAAACCCAACAGAATTGGCTCGTCGATCATAGCGCGTCTTTGCGCGATCACTAGCTTGAAGACCGGCCTCCCTGATCTGCTCATAAATGTCCAACATTTTTGCCCTTAACTCGCTTATGTAATCGCTAAACTCGGTGCGAGAGTCACCAGGTGGACAGCCCGACACAAGATCTGCCGGTAATCTCAATTCCCTTCCAAAATTTGCAAATGCAGGCGTCTTTGCGGTACTTTCATGTACAGCAGTCCGATAGGCAAGCAAGAAGAGAGGTATGTAAGTGTCCCAATCTCTCTGATGGCTGTCAACCACCTTTGCTAAGTGTCGCTCCAATGTTTGGTTGAAGCGTTCGACCATTCCATCTGACTGTGGATGATAAGGGGTCGTTCGAGTCTTATGGATTCCCAAAAGTTTACAAGTTTCCTGGAAAACTTGGGATTCAAAGTTCCGTCCTTGATCACTGTGCATCTCCAAGGGCACTCCGAATCGGGTGAATACCTCGTTTACCAACTTCGTGGCTACAGTTACTGCCTCTTGATTCGGTATGGCAAAGACCTCCGGCCATTTTGTAAAATAATCCATAACCACTAAAACGTAGCGATTGCCCGAATCAGTGATTGGAAATGGTCCAGCGATGTCTAAGGCTATTCTTTCCCAAGGCATACCAACATTGTAGATTTTCATCGCCCCTCTGCTTCTTGTTTGTGGACCCTTGACAGCTGCACAACTAGTGCATTTCCGGCACCAATCTTCGACGTCATATTTGCAATGCAACCAATAAAACCTCTCCTTGATCTTCACCAAAGTCCTCCTAATTCCCAAATGTCCTCCAGAAGATCCATCATGGAACGCTTTTAATACATCCCTTATTTTTGAACGAGGCACCACCAATTGCAAATGCTCGTCCTTGCCGTTTGTTGATTCCCATTTCCTGCACAGAAGTCCGTTATGCAGCGTAAGGCTTTTCCACTGTGCCCATAAACCTTTCGTTACCGCGCTATATTGGGCGACGTCACTCCAACTTGGCTTGTTACCACTTCGTAGCCACTCCAGTATTGGTTTAATATCTGCATCTCTTTCCTGTTCTAATTTCATCGCATCATCTCCCCATGCCTCGTCAACAGTATCAGTCCTTATCACCTTAAGAAAAGCAGTTTCCTTCTTGGAACAATGCTTGCAATCTTCCACGCATGGGCGTCTCGATAATGCATCTGCGTTGCCATGAATTCTTCCTCCGCGATGTTCGATTTCAAAGTCAAATTCCTGAAGTTGTTCCAACCATCTGGCTACTTGGCCTTCGGGATCCTTAAACTGAAGCAGCCATTTCAAAGCAGCGTGATCAGTTCTAATCAAAAATTTCCGTCCCAGTAAATACTTCTTGAAATGGTGCAGAGTTTTGACTACGGCCAGCAATTCCCTCCTGGTCACGCAATAATTCCTCTCGGGCTTGGATAGTGACTTGCTGAAGTAAGCAATAACCTTCTCCTGCTCACCATCGCGTTGTGAAAGGACACCTCCTATTCCAATATTGCTGGCATCCGTATCTACTACGAATATTCCTTTCGCGCTGGGGTATCCGAGAATTGGTGTGTTACAAAGCCGTTCTTTTAGTTCTCGAAAGGCTTGCTCACAATCCTCGTCCCAGATAAAGGCACGTTTCTCCTCTGTCAATCGATGCAAAGGCTTGGCAATGTCCGAGAATCCTTTCACAAACCGCCGATAATACGAGCACAATCCAAGAAATGCTCGAACTTGCGTTTTGTCTTTAGGTGTTGGCCATTCCTTAACAGCGACAGTCTTGGCTGGATCAGTCTCAATTCCTCTCTCAGAAATAACATGTCCTAGATAATTCACTTCGCGCTTGAAGAAAGAGCATTTCTTTGGACTCAACTTTAAATTTGCTCCACGCAGCTTGTCGAGTACCTTTTCTAATTTCCTTAGATGATCGTCAAAATCCCGTCCAACAATGATGATGTCATCGAGGTAAACTAGGCAGGTTTCGCCCAGCAGTCCCGCCAGCACCTGTTCCATCAAACGCTCAAAGGTTGCCGGTGCATTGCATAATCCAAATGGCATCACCTTAAATTGCCAGAGTCCCTTCCCAGTTGAGAATGCGGTCTTTTCCTTGTCCTTGGGATCCAAATCCACCTGCCAATAGCCGCTTTTTAGATCGAGCGTTGAAAACCATTTCATGCCACTCAGTGTGTCAAGTGTGTCATCGATTCTTGGTAACGGGTAGCTATCCTTCTTGGTTACATCATTCAATCGTCGATAGTCTACGCAAAACCTCGTTGAACCATCTTTCTTCTTGACAAGCACGACAGGTGAACACCAAGGGCTAGAAGAGGGCTCTATCACGTCATTTTTCCTCATATCGTCAATCATTTCTTCAACCTCTTTCTCACGAGCGAATGGTATGCGTCTGGGCCTTTGACGAATTGGCATTGTATCACCTGTGTTTATTTTATGCTTCACCAAACCAGTTCGGCCAATATCACCATCGCTTCTTGAAAACACATCAGAGAATCGAAGAAGTAAATTTCTAGCCTTCATAGTCTCCACTTTTGTCAGACTTTTGTTTTCGTCTAAGATTTTCGTTACAAAGTCTATTCCCGTACTGTCCTTCTTCACAAGATTTTCCGAGCATTTTCTTATCCAGGCCACTTCTTCCAATACGCCCACAGGCTCTCCTTCTTCAATCGTAATTTTTGAATCACTGAAGTTGAATACCGGAATGCGGTTGACATCAGATGACCCCACGACAGTTCTTGCCGGTAGCCATGAGTTTACGTGTTCCGATTTATCAATCACAGCGCACCTTCGAGGTAAACTTCCTTCCCTCCTCCTAGGTAATGCAATTGGTACGAGAGTCTGTGATTTTGGTGCAAGAACAGTTCTTCTTAAACAGCAAACTTTTCCCAGGGTTCCACCCTTCATCGGAATTTCCTCAGTTCCACATAGTAATACTCCAGATTTTAAGTCGATGTTACACTGGTGCCCTTGCAGGAAGTCAAGTCCCAGGATGCAGTCATCCAGAATTTTGGCCACAATAACCTCATGTCGATAAACACGTTCCCCAATTTTGATTGTTACATGCAGTTTTCCACTTATCGGTATGCACTGGCCGGTAGCTGATTTCATTTGTAGGCCAACAATTGGTTTAAGGTGTTTCCTGATGTTGTGCTCGAGTAGCCGAACATTTATCACCGTCCTTGAAGCTCCAGTATCTAATGTTAGCTGACTGTTTTTCCCATTTACTTGACCGTCTATCACCAGAGTATTTCCATCGTTGGTTTGCTTGATGTAGATTGTTGGGGTTGTTCCACTACCAGCCGGCGCCCACCCCGCAGCCCTGGCTGGATTTAATAATAATAATAATATAATAATTAAATCATTTATTGGTGTTAACAAAAAAATTTATACAATATAGACCCACCAAACTGTTTAGACAGTTTGACGGCGGGAATAGCGCTCGTTACAAATCTTTCATATTTAAAAAATCGGAACAAATCAGGACTTACAGTAGACAAAAACAAAATCAAAGAATAAAATAAAATAAAATAAAACTAAAGAGTAATTAATTTAAACTAAAAGATCGAAGAAGTTACCTATGTGCGTTAGCTAACATTATTAGAGAACTCTGTATTTAACATTTGTAGCACTTTCTTAAGTTAAGTTTCCCTGCTGGTCAGAAGTTGAGACCGCCGCGTCCTTGCGGATCATTTTCTTCGGGCAGTCGCTCCGTATGTGCCCACGCTCTCCACATCCATAGCACATGAAGTTCCGACGGCGTGGAGGTACCTGCTCCGTTGTCGTCATTTCCCGCAGACGTAAGGTACGGGAGTTGCCACGCACGGCTTCCACTTCCAATGCATGGGCCAGAGCTTCTTTCATGATCTTGTGATGGCCCAGATGAACAGCAGCTCGTACTTCTGGGTCCCGAATACCGTCAATGAACGCTTGGAGAAGCGTGCCTTCAATCATTGAGGCCACATTTGAGGTGTCAAAAACGGCTGCAAGACGGCTTCGGCTCTTCAAAGGGCTTGGGCTTGCCACTTGCTGCTTGATTTTGGAGATCTCTTCTTCCACTCTCTCCTCTATCGCCATGACGCGATGTTCCAACTTGCCTAACCCTTCCTCCACTTCTTGTACCCGTTCGACAGCCTTTTGCAGTCCCTTCGTGAAATCCCTGTGCATCTCTTCCAAGCGACGCGCTTGCTCCTCTTGGCGGCGAGCTTGATCCTCTTGGCGACGAGCTTGATCTTCTTTCAGCTCCCGAAGCTGTTCTGCCTGACAGCGTGCTTGCTCTTCTTGGCGGCGCGCTTGCTCTTCTTGGCGGCGCGCTTGCTCTTCTTTCAGCTCCCGCAGCTGTTCTGCCTGACAGCGCGCTTGCTCTTCTTGGCGGCGCGCTTGCTCTTCTTGGCGGCGCGCTTGCTCTTCTTGGCGGCGCGCTTGCTCTGCCATCATTTGCTGCAGCTGTAGCAGAAGATCCACCTGCACAGGCTTGGCTTCTGCATCGCTGGTTTGAGCTGCAGCACCCTCTTCCCTCACACGCTGCGCTTCTGACATAGCACGGGTACTCACTCCTCTTACGTCCTGCGGTACTAGCGGCATTTTTCTCCAATCCCACTTCTGACACCAAATGTTACGTGCCTGACGTCACGTTCCTGACTATGCGGGCTTGGGTAACGGGATTGGATGAAATGAAACATAATACCGGTTTTCAAGACTTTCTATTGCACTTAAGTTACAGCGTCCACGGAGTTAAGTTATCGGCGTTCCTCTCCAGCAGAGCCCGGCCGACTGACACAACTTTGCCGTTCACGCTGGCTTAACTCACTTAACTGACTGCACTTCACTATTTCACTGCACTTCACTATTTCACTCACTTTTCTTCTTTTTCACTTCTTCTTTTTCTTCCGAATCACTTTAGACTTAGAAGTCAACTGCCAGCGGTGAGCCGCAGTTCTGCTTATATACCCCCGGTCAGGTTCTGGAACATTCAATTTCGTTATTCTTTTTGATCGTCATGCCTCCAGAACCTTCCAATAATTTCGCTATTCATTTTTATTTATTCTCCTTCTCACTCTTTAATTTTTCATCTCTTTCACACAAATAATTCCAGAAAGTTCGACAAAACTTCCATCAACTAAAAAACTTCATGTTTACGGCGGGACTCGAACTCGGGGTCTCTGTGGTGTAATCCACACGCCTTACCAATTACACCAACTCGTATTGACAATTCACGACGAAATTTACAATCTCTAGGCAACGTTTGACAACCATCCATTGACGTCATGATGTCAAAGAGTTTTCTGTCACAATATGTTATCAAAGATATTACGGTTTGTAGGGGATTCTTTGTTAAATATTGTTTTTATTAATAACTAGCGACCCGCTCATGTATCGTAAGGTAGTTCAGCTACGTCGATATCACTCATTGGTTGCGTTAGAAACAAAATGTCACAGAAAGGATCACTATTATTAAAGTGTTCATGCATAAGAACCTACTCCTTACCTTAGCAAAATGAAGATAACTATGGAATCGGCCTAACCGTTCACGCATGATGAACTGGCCATGGCACATTAGGATTCATTATTATAAGATGTTTCCTACAACAACATATAATAAAGATTGGACTGTCCATAAATGTAACGTATGGTGACGGCAATATTAACCCTTTGAGGTCAATCAATCAATTGAGCTGACGGATTACCTGGTGGCAAACAATTTATGGGCGCCGCCCATAGACCCGCAACACCAGAAGAGTTAAGAGTGTGTTGTAAGACTTTTGGGGATAAGAGTTTCGGAGATTTCGGGATTGAAGATAGAATGGGGGACGTGAAAAAGGACTGGGCCTCCGATAACCTCATTCACACGGCGAAGCACAACGCTGTGCTTGTTTCACGCTGGTTTTCTGATAGGCCGTGGTATCACTCCAGTCGAGCCGACCCCAAAACGTGCCAAACCATGGCTCTCTCACACTTTTCTTGCCTCATAAGGGACTTTGGTATACAGCAGCGTGCTCTCTTGAAACTTTTAATCTGTGGTCTTTAAACTCTACACAGCTTTCTGGTAATTATATCAAGATCCTCTTATTTAGAGGAGGGCCGAAGTCCACCAATAGAGTTTGCCGGCCTGTTGAATTGATGGGTACTTACAGTAAATAGGTAAGACATGTCATCAGTGGTAAAGGATATGGATAAAGGGAATCATTTGTTCAAATCACACACAAGTAGGTATATGTCGAATTGCCGGATCGTCAAACACGGCTATCTACCAGTTTATCTTACTAATATTATAAACGCGAAGTTTTGTAACGATGGACGAAGTTCCAAAATAATCGTTTGATTGTAAAGTTTTATAATTTTGATTTGTCGTTATAGTGGCTACTGAAATACACAATTTGTGCTATTAAACTATAAACTGACAGCGGATTCTTAGTAAAAATAGGCAACAGTTTTATTGCTGTGAGTATCCAACTACTTAAATCGATTTAGTTCAAGGCTAGCAACCCTGGACGGAAACATTTATATAATATACTAGCAGTCGCCCGCGGCTCCACCCCCGTAGATGTCGATTTTACACTTTTTCGATTTAATTTTTTTCAACGTACAAACCTTCTTTGGCCTTCGACAAATAATTAATGACCAAAATTAGCTGAATCAGTAAAGGCATTGTTGAGTTATGACCTTACAACCAAAAGTGGCATTGATTTTTATAGGTATATTACCTAGATAAATATAAATTTAAAAATATATAAATGAATCCGTCCGTCCTGTATTTCCAACCAAATAATATTTCCATGCATAATAAGTCAGTAAACATGTTGTCTTATATCCTCAAGTTAGGATGAAAGTGAATCTCCTGCTGGCCGAGACACAAAATAGGTAAGATCACCGAATGGAATCGAAGGCCATTTCCATCTTAATATAGTATTTCTATTAAAACGAGAAGACAAAAATGTAGTTTGGTAACAGAATTATGAATTAATGTTATACGTAGCATGATGCGATTATTATTTAACTTAAACTGTTGTAAAAAACAGATAACGATCTGTTATAAATTTTCCAAAATGCATACTAGTTATGTATGTATATATGTATATCTGTAGACGCCACTTGAGTTTAATGTATACTGTTACGGTATATGTATACTTTATAGCGAAATAGTTAAACTTATTTAATTAAACAACATTTTCACATTCACCAATAAACGATTCCTGCTAAAGACGCGGGCCGTGGCACATTATTGCACTCGCAACCCCAGCTGAACACCAGCTCCATTGGGGCCCTGTCTGTATTTGGGGTCTATTTGGCTCTTTGAGACGCGTTGTTGCAGTATAAACATCTACAGAACACCAGCGGTTGACATTGGCATGGACAACCGCAACATTATGGAAGGTAAGAGTGCGTTGCCGGCCTTTTGGGATTGGGTAGGGATTAGCGATTTATTTAGATATTCAGATTATCCAACTTACCGATTATTGCAAATACTAACTGTGCCCCACAATTGCTCTAACGTAGTTTATGTCTATTCACTGGGGAAGTCTAGATTCCAGCTATGGAAGAATTTATCAAATTGGTCGAGAAGTTATAGAGCCTATTCAATTAAAATAAACAATCAAATCCCTCCTCTTTTTATACATACAGTACATTAATTGAGAATAGTCATAGACTACATATCACCAGCCTAAAAATGCTGAGCTGAAGCCGTTTCTCATATGGAAAAGTTTGGGAAGGTTTGAGAAAGTTTTTATAATCAGAAACTATGTTGTCTAGGTTTCCTAACATTAACATGTTTACCTTCATGGAATACCAGTGGTGTCTAAATAATCTTAGAAAATACAAGATATAACTCGGAAAAACTCACATTGGTGCTTACAAGCTTTCCGGGGCACTAAGGAAATGGAATCGGCTATGCAAAGTATGTTTTTTTAAAATTTCTTAGTAATACCTACTTATTTAATATTTGTGTTTGAGACCTGTTACCTAAAAAAAATTTTATTGAGCAGACTCAATCGTATAGAAACTTCTTTTGATGTCTCTCTCCGTGCTTTTCACTTTTGATACCACATACTCAACACTGATTCAAACACGTTGTCTGCCGGCATCACAAAAAGAAATTTCAACATAGCACTTGGGAATCTGCCTAACGACATGTCACTTATCATAAAGGATACGGATCATAGGAGTCATTTATTAAAATCATGCCCAAATAGATCTGTCGAATTGACGACAATTCATCACTTCCTTCAGAGATATAGGTACTTCTTATCGTGCGACACAGACCCTTTTGACCTTGGAACAATATACGTTCGCCCGTCAATAAATAAAATATACACGTACCATCAAATAGGTACTTTACATGCAAATTACATAATGTACTCCTTCAGTATTGAGGTGAGGTTGAGATGAAAGATATATTCAAATTCAAAGCCGTTAAATGAGCGTAAAAGTAGAAAAAATATTATATCAAAGCAATGTCTGTCTTCCCCGGAAGGACAGATAGAGACAAATGATCAGTATTATGACCGTAGTGACAAGAATGAGTAGAGTATTATATTAGCTCATCTGTAAGGAGGCTTTCCATAATATATTTATCCTTTTTCATTAAATGACTTCTCGCTCGGTAGGGTGGGAGGGAGTGCTAGACTCTCACTGACTGAATATCGCCCCATAATTGCGCTTCACCCGCAACCCTGGATGAACATCTGCCATATTGGGCCCCATCTGTGGTGATCTGTTGACTCTTTGAGGCGGTCTTCTTTAGAATATCAGTGATCTACCCTTATAGATGTAACAAGTGATGCAATTTTAATATTTAACCGACGAACCAATGTCCTCTAATATAGTTGTAATTAGATGGATATATATTTTTTTTCTAGTTAAGTTTGTAATCTCTATTTTACATATTGATAAATAATTTAACAGTTCGGGGGAAGTAAAAACCCAAGACCCTGACCTTTGTACTTAAATTTTGGGTGCACATAATGGGGGAGTTTAAGCGTTCACCCGTTACCTTAACCTCAAGGAAGGCGGTGGTGTATTGGCCAACTGCAGCCATGTATAACGTGGCTTAGGGAAGACAGAAGTCTTACTAGGGATATGTCGTAATTTGTAACCGGAGTAAATCTATAGAGAGGATTTGTCTCTTATAAGTGATGATGATGGCCACGGGGGTGATTTTAAAAAAGGAAGAATCCTCTTCTCTCTAATCTTTTCTTCCAAAACCTGTCCTGTGTGACGATTGCCCTTTTTTTTGTAAATTTTTGTCTTCGTTTAACAAAAATATAACCGATAGCTTGAATTTCAGTAAAAATTATAAATATTTTGGAAATTAAACTAGTATTATACAGAATTCAAATAAAATTGTATTCAAACTTAGACTTCAGATTAGGCACTGTAAGTCCTGTGTTAATGGGACAAAATAACCGAAAAGTAAAACGACACATTTTTCTTTAAAAATATTTTATTTTTAATAGGTATAATTTTACAAACTAGATAAACAAAACTTTAAAAAGGCTGGCACAAATTGAAGGTTACGTAACCGTAGTTTTTCGTACTTTTTTGAAAAAAAAAGTTTAAACGTTAAATGGAACGAATTTATTTCT